ACTGTACAAGTACCTTGAAACAACTGTAAGTTGAACACCTATAAAGTTGAACACTATGTTGAAGTACTAAAGGTGTTCCACACACTCAGGTTTTACTGTACAAGTCACTTGACACTTATGTAAGTTGAACACCTCCAAAGTTGAACACTACGTTGAAGTACTAAAGGTGTTCCACTTACTCAGGTTTTACTGTACAAGTGCCTTGAAACAATTGTAAGTTGAACACCTATAAAGTTGAACACTATGTTGAAGTACTAAAGGTGTTCCACTTACTCAGGTTTTACTGTACAAGTACCTTGACACTCCTATAAGTTGAACACCTCCAAAGATGAACACTATGTTGAAGTACTAAAGGTGTTCCACTTACTCAGGTTTTACTGTACAAGTACCTTGAAACAACTGTAAGTTGAACACCTATAAAGTTGAACACTACGTTGAAGTACTAAAGGTGTTCCACTTACTCAGGTTTTACTGTACAAGCACCTTGAAACAACTGTAAGTTGAACACCTATAAAGTTGAACACTATGTTGAAGTACTAAAGGTGTTCCACTTACTCAGGTTTTACTGTACAAGTACCTTGAAACAACTGTAAGTTGAACACCTATAAAGTTGAACACTATGTTGAAGTACTAAAGGTGTTCCACTTACTCAGGTTTTACTCTACACGTACCTTGACGCTCTTGTAAGTTGAACACCTCCAAAGTTGAACACTATCTTAAAGTACTAAAGGTGTTCCACTTACTCAGGTTTTACTGTACAAGTACCTTGACACTCCTGTAAGTTGAACACCTCCAAAGTTGAACACTATGTTAAAGTACTAAAGGTGTTCCACTTACTCAGGTTTTACTGTACAAGTACCTTGACACTCCTGTAAGTTGAACACCTCCAAAGTTGAACACTATGTTGAAGTACTAAAGGTGTTTCACTTACTCAGGTTTTACTGTACAAGTACCTTGACACTCCTGTAAGTTGAACACCTCCAAAGTTGAACACTATGTTGAAGTACAAAAGGTGTTCCACTTACTCAGGTTTTACTGTACAAGTACCTTGACACTCCTATAAGTTGAACACCTCCAAAGTTGAACACTATGTTGAAGTACTAAAGGTGTTCCACTTACTCAGGTTTTACTGTACAAGTACCTTGACACTCCTATAAGTTGAACACCTCCAAAGTTGAACACTATGTTGAAGTACTAAAGGTGTTCCACTTACTCAGGTTTTACTGTACAAGTACCTTGACACTCCTATAAGTTGAACACCTCCAAAGATGAACACTATGTTGAAGTACTAAAGGTGTTCCACTTACTCAGGTTTTACTGTACAAGTACCTTGAAACATCTGTAAGTTGAACACCTGTAAAGTTAATGGAACAAACTTATATAAACCAGAACAATGGCAACGCCAAAGCGTAGCGAATCCCATCGAACAGCCATGGATGGCATTTTTACAAACAAAGTATATAGCAAAAATGGCAGGCATTTTTCAAAATGGCCGCCTTCTACCAATAGTGTCATTAGACCATTTGCCATACTTATAGTATTCACATACCAAATATGAACACAATCGCTCCACTACTTTTCGAGTTATAGTAAAATACGTTAAAATGGCGGCCATTTTGAAAAATGGCCGCCTTCTACCAAAAGTGTCATTAGACGGCAGTTACAGCAAAAATCGTAAAATAACGAGTAAAGGCCGCCATTTTTCAAGATGGCTGCCATGTGCTTCTTTAATATCTACATTTCTAGCTTTATTAATGTCCTATATAATTGTTTTACATCTAAAACATATTGCTATTACAGTTTTACATATTGCACCTAAATTACTGTAAATTCGGCACTAAAATGGCCGCCATTTTTAAATGAGCGGCCATTTTGAAAATCGGCTTTCGAGCAGAACTTCTTCCCCCATAGGGTATATGTGTACAAAATATGAACAAAATCGGGCCAGCGGTATTTGAGTTATTGCCCGGACGGACGGACGGACGGACGTACGTACGGACGTACGGACGTACGTACGGACGGACGGACGGACGGACGTACGTACGGACGGACGGACGTACGTACGGACGGACGGAGGCGTTCCCTATATCCCTCCGAACTTCGTTCGATGGGATAACAAGCAAAAAAAATCAAGCTATTAGAAAGTGTATTGATTTACTTGAGTTTCTTGTATAAATGCATGTCACTCTATTCAAGAAATGAAGATATTATAGAAGCTTTCGGACATCTTTGGGCCTCCAAGGTCTGAGTAAGTCAACCACATGTTAGTACCAGAGGTTCGGTTAACATCAAGCCAATTGATCACAGCACTTTGAAAAGTATTCAACTTATAAAGGTATTTCATTGACAAAGATGTTCAACTTTACAAGTTTGAAGGTGAAATACTTTCGTAAAATAAAAGCTTTACATGAACAAGGCATTAACATGACAAAATGTCACCACCTAGTTGAAGCAAGATAAAAAAAACCTTTTTGACCTTGAGGAGGTCATTAAAGGTCAAATCTATTTTGACCTTGAGAATGTCATTTAAGGATCAAACATAGTCAGATTTGAAATTGTAGATGATTTTGAAAGAAAAATTGGTAAAGTTGAATAAATAATTTTTTTACCTTTTTACCTTGAGAAAGTCATTGAAGATCAAATCTTAAGTCAGATTTGAACTTCTGATAACTTTTAGATGATTTTGAATTGGGGTGAGAATGACCTTTAGACTTTTTTGACCTTGAAAAGGACATTGAAGGTCAAATCTTAAATATAAAGTCAGATTTGAACTTCTGTAAACATGTAGATGATTTTGAAAACAATTGAAGTCAGTCCATACAGTATTTGTTAAATTATTGGAAATTGTAAGAATTTGTTACAAACGCCAACCGCCGATCGCCAACCACCAACCGCCATAAAAAAACAGAGACCATAACAATATGTCACCATTTTTGGTGGTGACATAATAATGAAGCAGGATAGACTAACTAATCTTATTTGTTTAATTCAAACAATACCTGGTATCCCAAAAAATTATTAAAATAAAACAGGAATAACTCTTTTTTCTCATCAAAAAAGCTGAACTTCTCAAATGATGAAAAGTTAAAAATTGATAGAAATTATAGTAAATTATTACAGAGAAGTTCGATATTTTAGATGACATGCTCTAAATGACCTCTTACATGATCGATGAAGAGCTTTATGCACTGCTGGAAATTGAAGATTAGAGTTACTATAGGTAAGTTCACACCAACGGCGCTTAAAAGCAGAGTGCAAAGCTTTGCACGCCGCTTTAAAGCGCCATCGAAGCGAAACTTTCAGATTTTGTTTGATGATTTTAAAAATGGTTTGTAAGATGACCAAATTTCAAGAATATTCCTCTATCATTCCATGTTTCAATACAATTTTTTGAGACATCCTGTATTAACAGAACGGTATTAACAGTAAGCAGTAGGTGATTTTTAACAGTTGTTACAGTTTGTTTTGAGATGTAAAAATAAGGAACCAAAATATTTTTGCATTGATACTTTTTTTCTTCAGATATGCTAATTTTATTAATTTATAACTACTGAATATGCAAATGTAATCTTTCAATTTTTAACCAAGTCTGACAACTTAAATATTTACATTTTCAAACTGATGACCTCAAGGTTCAGTCAATTTTAAAAGTCTGATCTTTTATACAATGTATGACAGGTCTCAATTTTTAAGGAACAAAACATGATTTGAAGTACTCTAAACCAAGTTCTTTAAACCAAACAGCTTTATGTAGGGAGATGAGGTTTCCTTTTATTTATAAGGGTTGTTTGATCTAGTACTTATTCAGGGGGAGACTTTTTTTTTATTTCTGAGACATTTTTAGAGGGGGGGGGGCAATACAAAAGGAGGGCAGTGTTGGCTGGTGATAGGTTATTAAGACTTTTGATTAGATATGGCATATATTGATGCTATAAAAATATATTATACGGAAACCATCTGATACATACAGAATATCACATCACTTTGAGTGATATCATTTTTATCGCCGAGTTGATATCAAATATCAACACGAGTGAGCGAAGCGAATGAGTGTTGATATTTGATATCTACGAGGCGATAAAATGATATCACAAGAAATTATGTGATATTGGGTTTATCCCATGACCATACCGGCCATTCTGATTTGTACTTTACTTACTGCGCAGTAATATGCACTACTTTCTGTACATGACATATAGTTCGTTATAAATACCATTTTTTAATCATTATTTAGCAGCCTTCTAATCAAATTATATACACAATCGTAATTCAATACACCAATGAAACTTAAAGAGAATAAATTAAAGGACCTATTTTCTCAAAAGAGAATAAATTGTCTGACATAATTTCCAACAATATTGTGGCGCAAAATGCAAATGTGATATCACACGGATATGCGTGAGATAAACGATATCACACGCATATGAGTTTGATAAACGATTTTCTGGAAAATATCACATGGATTTCAATAATATCAGAAATATCAATAGCTGTTATTGTACAGATAACACATTAATCGCGGGATAAAACTATATACATGTACATACACCATATGATCGGTTCAAATGTGTGTATGTTTGGTTCACTTAGCACTTTTTAGTGTTTAATTCCATATTTCCTCAAGGGAGTCCTATTAAATTCTGATTATTTAGATACTATATACACTCTATTTAGTGACAAGTCACATTTATAGGAATGTGTAGGAGACAAAGTAATTGATTGTTGACATCTGTTTATTCTATTGTCAATCCTTCTTTTGTCAATCCATTACTGTCACTCTTTGAATTCTACTTCAAACAAGTTTCCATGATAATCTCCAACCAGCAGGTGTCCCTGATGACCTATAGCCACACATAAAGGCCCCGCCAATCCATCTTCCCCACTGAGGAGGTGTTTGATGAGATGGCCAGTTGAACATATGAGGCTTACTCTGTTGTTCATTAAGTCAGCTACAATAATGTTATTCCCATCAGTACACACACTAGATGGAGCATTGAGCTGCCCATCATCAGATCCCTTGGTGCCATACTCCATTTTCTTATTGCCATCCCTGTCCATTACTATGATACAATGCTTGTGGCAATCAACCACCACTACATCATTGTCCAGGTTGACAGCAATAGACCAAGGTGTTTGAAATAATGCTTTTGGGGCTGTAGTCACAACTCTCCCAGTATTGTAGTCTATGTGAGCCACAGTCCCAGTCTTCACGTCACTGACCACAAGTTCTCCATTGGCATTACATGCAATTCCATCCAGGTAAGTGAAGGGGGTCTTAATGTCTCGTTTGTGTACACCCTTCTTGTCATAGATGCTTATCACACCTGCAAGGTTGGTAAGTGCAATGCAATTGTCAGGTGTAATAGCTGCCTGCCTCATACTGCCATGTATTGTATTTGTCAATTCTGAGTTGTTGTAGAACTGGACTTCTTCAAATCTAACTGCAACTCTTGTTGAGGAATCAACCTCTGTTATGTCCAGGATATATTTTTTAGATGAGTTTGGAGGCAGTTTGGTTTTCTTTCTAACAATTGGTTTTTGTAGATATTTCTGTGTAGGCATTAGAAGAGGCATCTCAGGTTGAGGTTGGACCATGGAACCACTCCCAGAAATACTCATTGACTCTTCATCCCTTTGCTCACTTGGAATACTCATTGGGGTTGGCTGGGTAATTTCTGTTGGTATATCTTCATGAAAAAGCATACTCATTGGATGATGAAGCATACTCATAGATGTGATATTTTCATCGAAACCTCTTTGATACAGACTGCCAAATATAATTCGGTTGTGCAATATCTCACAGGGTCTGAACTGGTATGGATTAGGAGGTGAATGTTCAGGAATCAATAATTCTTGTACATTCAGACCTGTGAATAATCTGACCTTTTCTACATTGTCCTGTATTGTTCCAATATGTGTTGTAAAGGTCTCAATCACTGCCTTAGATGTTTGCATTTCCTCCTGGAGAACTGCTCTTGATCGACATTCTTTCTGGTGGTACTCATCAATGTTTTGCTTTAAAGATGAAAACAGGTTGCTGATTACTTCAATAACAATTTTGTGATCTTGTTCCAATTCTTCAGTAAGACGTTCATTTTCATTTCGAAAGTAAAGTTTGTCTTCTTCTACTTTCTGTAGTCTCCCTGTTAATAATTCTAAATGTTCTTCCTTGCCCTTGTTCCATTCCTTCTCAAACACTTCCACAGCTTCATCAATTTTTAGCAATGAATGTCCTGCATGATCTCTAACACAGCTATGACATATGGCGTGATTGTCATCTTGACAGAAAAACGACAAGGGGTTAGCAGGATGACGCCCGCACTTTGAAGGCTTGATGTTACTGTTGGCTGCTAGTATTTCCTTTAATGTATTGATCTTGAAGTCAGGTCCTAAAGCAGAAGGTCCCCCATGTGGAACCTGCCATTCATCTTTGCACAGAGGGCATCTAAGAGGCTCCTCAGTGTTTTCAACTAAACCCTCAACACATTTCAGACAGAATGAATGATAACAATTCGGTAAAAGTTTTGGATTGTCTAAATCCTCCAGGCAAAGTTTACACTGTAGAATAGGTTTGAATTGTTCGTTTTGTTCTGCTGGTACTTCCGCCATTTTTTTACCTGACTGGGTGTGTTCAGTTATTGTAAGTAACCTAGGATTGTGTATGTGTTATCTTTATCTTTTATTTAGCTTTACCTACAATCTAACATACAATGCATAATAGACACAATTTTAAGTGGGGACAATGTTCCTTTTTTATCAGACTTGAGGTAGCACATATTTAAAACTTAAGAATTGTTTTGAGATCTTGATTTACGAAGGATTTTTGGGAGACATCTTTTTAGATTTCTGTTTTAATAACAGGGTATAGTTAAGGTAGATAACTGAAGGTTATAAAAAACTCAAAAGCAACTGAAACTTTATGAATAAAGATGGCTGTAAAAACAGTACAGACATACAAGGCATAAACACACAAAATGTCACCAACTGCCATTTGTTACAGGCACTAATCATCAAACACCAACCACCAATTACTGAACCAAACACCAACTGCCAAACACTATCCACAAAAAAGGTTGTAGTATATAACAATTACGTCATCACTTCTGCTTTTCAGAGATCAAATCAGAAACAAAGCAGCGTGCTAAGCATATGTGTATCTCAGATAATTGACCCTTTTCCATATAAATGGAAAAATAGATGGCATCATAGGTGTTGGTAGAGCTAGAATATACAGCAACCTATGGCAGACCTCACTTACTTTCTTGATTTAACAAGTAATTCCTTTGGGATCAACTTAAAATACCACTGGAATGTAACTACACTGCACTGTTCCACAACTAGTTACTTTGACGAGTATATGATCTTATTGACATGTGGATTGAACTTTTATTCAACAATAAAAAAATACAGTTAAACCTGTGTAAGTGGAACACATCTGATTTCTCAAAGTAGTGTTCCACTTGGGAGGTGTTCTACTTGGGAGGTGTTCCACTTAGGTGTTCTACTTGGGAAGTGTTCTACTTGGGAGGTGTTTAACTCGGGAGGTGTTCCACTTGGGAGGTGTTCAACTCAGGAGGTGTTCCACTTGGGAGGTGTTCCACTTGGGAGGTGTTCTACTTGGGAGGTGTTCCACTTGAGAGGTGTTCCACTTGGGAGGTGTTCCACTTGAGAGGTGTTCCACTTGGGAGGTGTTCCACTTGGGAGGTGTTCCACTTGAGAGGTGTTCCACTTGGGAGGTGTTCTACCTATTGAGGCTCTTTTTACATGAGGTTAATTGGTAAGATGATTTGAAAAGTGTTCTGTATATAAGACCCATGTATTATCCAGGGGTGTCAATAGAATTTCTCACAACAGGCTAAATAAATGAAAACAACAGGCAAAATTGTCCTAAATAAATTCATCTGATTAGTCTTTCTAAATTAATCATATTTTCCTTTTGTCTTAACCATACCTTGTTTTTTAATTTGTGACGTTTCGTCCAGCATGGTCGCTTGACTTTTTCGAACTGCTTGAAGTTGATACTTGATCTTGAGAGTTAATTAGCACTTTATTCCACAAACTTGATAATTCGTGATTGCCTGAGTCTCTATTCATACACTGTTTTTCTTTCTTTATGTAAATTGCCTCTTTTATCCACCGTTTATTTCTCTGACCTTCATTGTCTATAACCTTGACGTTATCCCAATCAACTACATGGTTCATCTGACGCACATGATCAGTGACTGCTGATTTCCCATATGATGACTGGGCTTCTTTCCTAACACTTCTTGTATACCTTGTCAGCTCACAATCAGAGACATCTTTCTTATGTTCTGATAGTCTTATATCTAATTTCCTGCCTGTCTCTCCAATATATACTTCTTTACACGAGCTACATGGTATTTCATAAACTACATTTGACTTATCTAGCAACTTGCGCTTGTCTTTAGGGTGAACTAATATCTGCCTTAATGTTTTAACTGGTTTAACGGTTGAAGATATCTTGTGTTTCTTTAAAATTCTTTTAACCTTCTCTGTTACACCTTGGACATATGGTAAAGTAGTAAACCCAATCCTATCTTCCTTATCTGCACTAGAAGAGGCTGTTTCTTTGTCATCTATGCACTTCTTAACAATATTTGAAGGATATTCACATTTACTAAGAGCTGACTGTATATGTTCTACCTCTTTGGTTCTGTCACTGTCGTCTGTAACAAAGGACTGCGCTCTATTAACTAGTGTTTTGACTACTCCTAGTTTATGCACCGGGGGGTGATGGCTGGAATAGTTCAAATAATGGTCTGTGTGAGTCTTCTTCCTATATACACTACAGTTCAAAGAACCATCTTCCTTTCTACTAAGAAGTACATCTAGAAACGGTAGACACCCGTTCGTTTCTTGCTCTACTGTAAACTTGATACTCCCAGTACTATCTACTTGATTGAGATGATCTGTAAGCTTATCTACACTGTCTGATTTCACAACTTCTAAGATGTCATCGACGTACCTACGCTAATCTCCTAATCTCACACGATGTTGTTTCATTGTTTACAAACACCCCTATGGTGGAAACATTGGCAATTGTAAAAGATAAGCTACTTTCTGAATATGAAATGAATAATTCATCTACAAATTTACTAGACTCTGACTCTTAAGATTATGATGACGATGATTGTCAATCCATATCGAAGAAGACGGCATATAAACTTATTGACAAACCAATTTATTCTTAAACAGGAATGAATCTTCTAAATTATGCCTTGTCTATGCTTTTGAATAAAAATATGAGGATGGGTTGAGAAATACCAAGTAGCACAGTTTTTAAAATAGAGAATAGGGTATGCAAGGTCCTTCTCCATTGATATTTATAGGTATGCATTATCCTCCCCAAGATTTATTAGATTTATTAGTTATATCCCCCCGATATCGATTTATTAGTCGATTCTAAAAATTTTGAGATGATTGCTCTGAATATTTCACATAAGGCATTCCCCTTAAAAAAAGATTCAAGAACATTCTATCATTAAAAGACAGCACATACTACATCTGTTAAGCATCTTAGAGATAAGCCATGGGCATAAAATCAGCACAAAAGATCATAAAGTACCAGTCCCAATATGCTATCTTTATACAATGCTGGTTTTGTTTATGTATGGGAAATATCACATTAAAGGGACCCAACACCTTACAAAACTTCTTAACGGAGAGGAATAAGGGAAAATGCTTGCAGGATTCTGAATCGGTGTATTTTTTAATGATTTTTCACCGTCTTAGAATCTCAATTTTTTTCTTTTGAAAAAATGAGATTTGCATTGTTTTCCAATTAGAAAAATGAGTAAACATGAACAGCTCGAAATCTAACGTTGAGATTTTGTTTTAAAAAATCATGGATATCAAGGCTAAATATAGCTATACAATAAACATAAAAAAGCAATGCTTGGACTCTTCATATTTACACAAAAAATTAATTAGTAAATTAGGTTTGATATTTGTGAGAATAAGTTGTACGAGGTGCAATGCTCTACAAACACCAGACTACAGGGTGGATTAGGATCAATGACACACATAAAAATTAATTTAAAAATATTTCATGATAATTATCTCAAACAAAAGCAGTTAGCGAAGGATACATTTCATTACACTCAATAAATAGTTATCACTTTTGACTATATATACATATATCATGGGAATGTATTTCCATCTGCTCGAGATATCATATTTTAGCTTCGAAAATCACAATCGTTGGATAATACATTTGTCTCAGAATGATAGGCCACCCTGTAGTAATGTTGCTTTCACTTGAAGTGTACCCTTGAGAATAATGAACTTACTTTCAAATTGGTCTTGCTTTTGTGGTGTATGTGGCTTTTTAGCAAATCTGCCACGCTCATTTCTTTCCAGGACCATCTTGTTCACATGTAACACTAGGCTATACGCGCATGTATAGACAGATGACATAGATATACATATAAATTATATATTGCACCTGTATTTACTTACATGGGAATATTCCCTTTGGAAAAATGCAAATGCATGAACATAATGTTTTCATCTTATATATGACTTCAAGCTAACATATTATTTCATATTTATATTTTCATAGTTAGTCTAACATAAATAATAGATCCATGAAAACAATATTCTTTGTTTTCTTAAAAATTGATGGGTTTACTGTGAATTCAATGAATTACAATTTGCAAGGGGTAAGTATACTGTATGACCTTAGTTGCAAAGTACTGTTTATATATGCAGCTCAATAGCATAAAATATGTTGAATGAAGCATGTGGTATGGATTAGTCGTGTGACACACAAACTGACCAATACATGAGGGTATTAGCTACTTTTCACAGAAACCAAAGGAGGACAGTGCTTTTATTTCAACTGGGAGCTTACCTCCACACGACTGATCATGTGACCATGGTGGTGGGTCCCTTTAACTCAAAAGGGGAAGTAACATCATATTTACAACAATTAAAGATATTGTTCATCATTTTTATTATAGTGCTCAGAGTACCGAAGTCAAGTACTTTTGTTACATTTAGTACATTTGGTACATTTAGTACAATAGGTACATTTAGTACATTTGGTACATTTAGTACAATAGGTACATTTAGAACAGTTGGTACATTTAGTACATTTGGTACATTTAGTACAATAGGTACATTTAGAACAGTTGGTACATTTAGTACATTCGGTACATTTAGTACAATAGGTATATTTAGAACAGTTGGTACATTTAGTACATTTGGTACATTTAGTACAATAGGTACATTTAGAACAGTTGGTGCATTTAGTACATTTGGTACATTTAGTACAATAGGTACATTTGGAACAGTTGGTACATTTAGTACATTTAGTACATTTGGTATATTAATGGAACACATTCCTGAGTCCCATCATCCAATAACTTCTAACACTTATGTAAATTGAACACCTCTATAAGTTGAAAACCTCCATCAGTACACTTTCTAGAGTCCCATA